AATTATGTTTGCCAATCTTCCGCGGCTACCACTAGGCATGCCGTCGGTGCTTGATCACATGTCAAAGAGTCTGTTATCTATGCGATATTAGATTCAAATTATAACGGAAGTGGACCAAAATAGGCTATTCATAATCAAAATAGGCTATTAATTGTTGTATCATCCTAGCTAAGATACAAAAATGAAAAATTGTTAACTTGTTTTAATTGCCTCAAAGACTGTGTCGTATTGATCATATCCCTGTGAGCAGCCCAAAGTAGGCTGCACCGACGAATGCTGTTACTCATTTAGCACTATCTATGGGGCGCGTGTTGCTTGAAGATAGGCTACGGACGCGAGTAACACCACCCCCACAACGATCTACGATCATGTTAGATGGGTACTTACGGCTTAAATTCGACTACGAACCTCTACAAACATGGGCCTGAATTTCCGAGTGGCTGCCGCTCTGGCACTCGGTACCACAGGTTTCGGGTTCCAGTCCCGGCGGTTCCATGGATGTGTGTAGTGGTTCGGAATCCTCTTTAAACCGTAGGTCCTGGTCCTAATAGGATCGTAGAGCGTTATGGGGGCATTGTTACTCCGCGTCCGTGGCTTATCTTCAAGTGACACGCGCCCCCCTGGGTAATGCAAAGTGAGTAACATCTGTGCAGCGCTTGCCTTAAGGCATCCAAGACCAAGCTATATATGTGTTTGCCAGCTGCATTAGAACAACAACCTCTACAAACATCCATGGCACTGTCAGGATTCGAATGCAAAACTGGCGCACCAAGAGTCGGAGTGCTAGTCATTCGTCCACCATGTCCCAAAAATTTATAACTATGTTATTTATGTGTTATATAATGTCTAAACAGTGTAGTGATTCCTGTATCCAAAAGTAAGAAATAAATGCATATTTTTTTTTCTAATGCAACAAGCAAACACTTAGACAGTTGTCTTTTGGGATTTAAGGCAAGTGCTGCACCGATGTCTCTCACTTAGCACTACCAAGGAGGTGCGTCTAGCTTGAAGATAAGTTACGGAAGCGAAAAACAGTACTCTCACAACGAACTACGATGTTAGACGGGGACCTATGGTTTAAAGTGGATGCCTAACCATTACAAACATCCCTGGCACGGCCAGGATTCGAATCCAAAACTTGTAGCAGCGAGAGCTAGAATGCTATTCACTCGGCCATAAGGTCCCGAAAATTGATAACTATGTTATTAAAGTGTCTAAACAGTTTAGTGACTTCAGCATCCAGAAGGAAGAAACAAAAAATAAATAAATGTAGAAACAGATTTTGTACGCGATAGTTATTTTCTTTCCATACCATCTACATTACGTTAGATTGACCATCAAGACATGCACTTTAACTAGAGAAATTGAGAGAATTTTCACTGAGAGGTCCTTTCCCAGAACGTCAGTGGAGCGACGTGATCGTTTAAAGCCCAAAACAGCATCAGTCAGTGTGTCGTCCATAACGCTGATTAGTTAAAAGAGGGCGACAGTCATACCATAAGTAAAAATATGATGAGTTGTGATGCATCTTCCTGTACATAGATAATCCCTCCTCTATTGTATCCATTACACTCTCAGTTTCTAATGTAACTTGAATCATCTTCTTGGCACTGCCTATTCAAAAAGGATATTAATTTATCATTTAAAACGATTTTCTTCGTCTTTTTTTCAGTGAGAGACATATCTGTTGATGCATATTTATTACCATTATTATAAGCATTTTTGAGAATTTTTATTTATTTACTTTTTTTCGAAAGGAACATGTTGCATAATGAGAAATTGATTACTCTTCTCTGGATTGAATCCAATTTTCCAACTGCCTCAATGTTGCCAGAAGACTTGCTTTATGTCACAATTATTGGACGTGTTTTGCAAAGGATATCGATTTATAATTAACTGTTTTCCATTTCCATTTACAGACAACATTGTGTAACAATTTCAATTTGAAAATCTGTTTCATTCATGCAATTGCTCAAATGATAACCTTTTTCGAATCCCTTTATATTTGCTGCGCTATGAATTCCATTTTCTGTTTTATAGTAATTATATGCGTTGTTCATGTATTGGAACAAAAATACTTAATTAAATATACTTTATAATTTGATTACAGGGAAAAATTTAAACACTCACAACCTTATTAGTTTAAAAATGGGGATTATTTTGTACTTTTGTTTAAAATTCTTTATTTTGAGGTTTATCGTAATTTAATTTTTATAAAAAAAATATCGTGATTTCGTAAATCATTTGTAATGTCCTTGAAGATAATTTTTCTATAACAATTTTACTATATCTACAAGTATCTAATATTATTTTTAATATTTGTTTTCAATTTGCATCTATATTAATATTTCTTTTTTCGTTCCTCAGTTACATAACTTAAAAAAGTAATATTTTTGTATCCCTTTTTTTCAATTATATTGACAATTGAATGCCTTAGCACAAAAATAATACATTTTTCACCTTTAAATACAAAAAAAGTTCCAGATTAAAGTAACAGTTAAAAATTAATGTAAAAAATAGACAGTCGCATTTGAATATTTAAAAGAATGTAAAAAAAAAAAAAAAAAATTTTATATCCTTAGGACCTCTAAAAATTGTTTTGTAATCGGTAGGAACGTTGATTAATTAAGGGTCAAATGAAGTGGTTCAACATTCAAGGACAAAATGATTATAATGATTCATTAAATGGCTCTGAAGCATTCCCTTTCAATAATTTCTTAAAAAATTGTTTGGAACTGTGGATATTCATTGTGCAAATAAGAATCATATGAACTGGTATCATGTTCAAGAAGAAAATAATTATAAAGATTCATTTATTTGCCATTGTAGGATTTCCATCCAATATTACTTTTTGTTTGAGATTAGGAAGGTATATATAATACTACTATACTAATATAATAATAATATTATATACTAATATATATATATATACACTACTTCATTTGACGCTTATATGCACAACACACGTTTATGAAGAAAATATATGGTAATATATATGGTATCTATCTTGCGTTTGGCAACACTGATGCGCGTTCTAATCTATGGCCTAGAAGAAAAAAATTCTAATTCTTAAGTCTTCTTCTAATTCTTTTGTGGGTATTTTATTAGTATAAGGATCTTTGAAGAATCTTACTTTCAGTTTCGCTTTCATTTCAATAACTGCTGATTTCCACAAGTTTATGAAATATTAATAATGACCCAAATCTACCCTTAAGAGTAAAACATGAAGCAAGTTATATTAATACATAATACAGAAATATATTTAATTTGTATTTACAAACTGCATTCGTTTTCTCAAATCAAAATTTCATTTGAGTCCCTTTACAGTAATTTCAAAACCAGCCAGACGGACTGAAATTGTCACATGTTTTATTCAATTCTTTTCTTGAAAGAGCATAGATGGAAAAAAATAGATTTTTATCTTTAAAATGACTGATTATCTGTGACACAAGAGCGGATTCTCTAAAAATAGTTTCCTGAAAAACACATTTAATATCATATTTCAACTTACAACTTCGAAAAAAAAAATAAATAAAGCATGCCATCTTGGTGCAGTCAGTTTCAAAACGCAAATCGTACTCCTCACTTTTAATTAAAACCAAAAGTAAGGAGTATGATTTGAGTTTTCTCTTCTATCATATAAAAAAATCATAATTTCGACAAATTCTTTTCTTGCAAAACATTTTCCGATATGTCAATTATTTAGTAAATATACTGATACCACATTATTCTTAATAAAATATTAGTAATTCAAATATTTTATATGCTATCCCTTTACATTTGAATTGTAAATGGATAGCATATTAAATATTTGTGTTAATTTGTATTTAATAAACAACAAAGAAAGCACTTTAAATGAACAGGTTTAAAAATTCTATCAAATAAAATAAGGTTATTTAAAGGAATACTGTTCTTAAAACATAGCAAAATGCAAAATTATGGATGGTATTAATGGGTCATTAACATATATCATAAATTTCAAACTGTATATGTAAACAACTGTTTTCAAATATAAAGATGCAAATATATTTAAATAAAAATTAACACAATAGCAGTATTTTTGCAAAGAGAATTTATCATCCCTTCACGTAAATATTCATAAACATCTTCAATAAACCATCTACGATCCGAAAATAATTCAGTTTGCATATCTACCAATTTAATGTTGTTGTGTATTTCAAGTTAACAGATTTCGATCTTCAATAGTGTTTGGTTAAAATTAAATTTAATAACTAATTTACGCCACACATTCCTTTTCATGGAAATTAATTGACCTTTTCTGAATATAAATTAGATTTTCCAAACTTCATTGATCTCACAACCGAACAAAACAGAATTTGCAAGTGTCGGCGGAATTTCTTGCAAATGTGGAAGACACAGACAGAAAGGAGACGCAGAGGAAAATCCATTACACAAATCTCGCTCGGAGGTAAAGGTTACGGTTACAGGAGGGATAGACTAAATTGCAGAAGTTCGTGCATCAATAAAACGCTTCATCGGATAAATTAATTAGGGTGGTCACTATAAATTGTCTTCGGTCTCTTTTGGAAGAAGTATTGGCCCATAAGGCGGGAAACCAATAAGAATCCATCGATTAACGTTCTGTTCTCCATTGTTCGTTGCTTTCTGATGGAATTATTGGGATAATGAGAAGATCTTTCTCTGCTGAAGGTGATCTCTTGCAGGGTGAAAGGGGGAAGCGTATTTACTTTGGGGTTGGTGGCACTTCGATCAAGTCCTGCAAAAATTAAAGTGATTTTTCAAAAGGGTCCTGTTACTGTCCTGTCTGCAGGCGGATGGTTTGGTTTGTCTCTCTACAGTCATTGTGCGCACACTTTGTTCTAAATAGACCGGAATCTACAGTTTACAGTGTATTCCGAATCACTCACAAAAGCGGCTTGATGGTCAATTGGCTAGTGCTCTGGCCTTTGGTATCATAGGCTTTAGGTTTGAATCCTGGCGGTGCCATGGATGTTTTTTAGTGGTTCGGAATCGGCCAAGGTTATACTTTGCTGAATATACCGGTTCTCCTTCGATCACCGAAGTCAAGATCAATGGGACGCAAATAGTACTTGGTAAGGTGACCACCTTGGAACACCATGCGTCATTGGAATTCAAAATGTGGGGCCACGGTACCACGGGTATCGGGTTCGAATCCAAATTTAGTCTTTTTTTATTAATATATTTTAAATTAATTGAAAAGCCTGTTGTGATTTAGCGAAATAATTTAAGTTTTAATCTTTTATATTTATAATAGTTTTTTTTTTAATTTTAATGCGCATTTATTATTATTAAAAGCATAGAAAAATATTGTAGTTGGAATACATGCAAATAAATTATCTAATCTATTTTTCGTTTTTTTAGAAACACTTTCATCATTTATCTTATTAGTTATCTTTTATTATCACCATTAAATTTTTATCATTATAATCAATTATCATGATAATTCGATGACCTTGAGGAGATTAGATCATGATTTATTACTTTTCTCAATTCATTTTTCATTTATTTTACACTAAATAAATATACAATGATTAATGATGAATAATAAATTAATAAATTCTTCAATTTGATAACAATTGAGAATGCTGTAACTTTGGCTTAGCATTTTTTGATACACTGAGATATATTGATCAAATAAGGAAATACTTTATTATTGGGTATGTTCTATTGATAAGTGTTGTGTTTTAATACATTTACTTAAACATATTAATTTGTAATAACATTTTAAATATTTTAGTGGAAGAAATATTGTAAATTTTGCTGTTAATTTTTAATAGTCCTAATAAATTACTATTTTAAATTAATGATTAGATGAATTTTTAGAATTTAGATATAATTTGAATAATAAATGAATATATCATAATTATATGTCTAATATAATAATTCCATTAAAATTGAAAAATAAACAACGGAATTAATAATTAATTATTGAAATTAATAAACAACGAAGAAACCACTTTAAATAAACACTTTTGCAGGTTTTATCATCTAAAATAAAATTAATAAAAGGAATACTGTTCTTAAAACATAACAAAATGCAAATTATCGAAGCAATGGATTCGTCGTTAGCATGTCTCATAAATTTCAAGCTGTATATGTAAACAAATGTTTTCAAATATAAGGATGCAAATACATTTAAATAAAAATTAACACAATAGCAGTATTTTTGTAAAGGGAATTTCTCTACCCTTCGCATAAATATTCATAAACATCTTCAATAAACCATTTACGATCCGAAAATAATTCAGTTTGCATATATCTGCTGATTTAATGTTGTTGTGTATTTCAAGATAACAGAGACTTCGATTTTCAATAGTGTTTGGTTAAAATTAAATTTAATAACTAATGTATGCCATGCATGTCTTTTCCGTGGAAATGAATTGACCTTTTCTGAATACAAATTAGATTTTCCAAACTTCATTGATCTCCCAATTGAACAGGACAGAATTTGTAAGTGTCGACGGAATTTCTTGAAATGCAGAAGACACGGACAGGAAGGAAAACCGGAGGAAAATCCATTTCACAAATCTTGCTCGGAGGTTGAATTACGGTTACAGGAGGGATAAGCCTAAATTGCAGAAGTTTGGGCATCAATAAAACGCTTCGTCGGATAAATTAATTAGGGTGGTCACTATAAATTGTCTTCGGTCTCAACGGAAGAAGGATTAGCCCATAAGGCGGGAAATCAATAAGATTCCATGGATTAACATTTTATTCTCAATTGTTCGTTGTTTCCTGGTGGAATTATCTGGATAATGAGAGGTGCCTTTGCTTGCTGAAGGTGATCTTCTCTTGCAGGAAGAGGGGGAAAGGCTTATTTATTTGGGGTAGGTGGCACTTCGATCAAGTCCTGCAAAAATTAAAGTCATTCTTCTAAAGGCTCTTAGTACTGTCTGCAGACGGATGGTTTGGTTTGTCGCTCTAATTTAATTTTGTACACACTTTAGGCTAAATAGACCGAAACCTACAGTTTAGAGGGGATTCCGAAACACTCACAAAAAGGCCTGATGGCCAATTAGCTTGCGCTCTGACCATATGCTTCTGGTTCGAATCCTGGCGATACCATGGAGGTTTTTTAGTGGTCCGGAATCTGCCTAATTTATATCGTGCTGAATATTCCGGTTCTCCTTCGATCATCGAAGTCAAGCATCATGGCACGCAGTCAGTACTTGGGTGACCACCTGGAAACACCGTGTGTCTTTGGCATTCAATGGCCTCAATGACCGAGTGTCTAGCGCCATGGCGCTCGGTGCCTCAGATTTCGAGTTCGAGTCCCGGAAGTGGGATAGATGTGTAGTGCTTCGGAATCTATTTTAAGCCGTATGTCCCGGTCTCATATGGCCGTAGAGCGTCATAGAGCCCAATCAGAATTCTCACTCACATCATTCCCAAACTGTAAAGGGGCATCTCAGCTCAAGGCACAGTGGTGTGGTGTGGTGTGGTGTAGTAGTAGAGCCACTCTCAAACATCCAAAGTAAAAAGTGTGATGAGTTTTATCTTCTATCATAAATAAAAAATGCATAATTTTGTCAAATTCTTCTCTTGCAAATGATTTTCTGATTTTTTTTTTTTTTTAGCTAACATATTGATACCACATTATTCTTAATAAAACATTAGTAATTAAAATATTTTATTTGCTGTCCCATAACATTTGAATTAAAATTAATAAACAACGAAGAATGCATTTTATATGAACAAGTTTATAGGATTTATCAAATAAAATAAAACTATTTAAAGGAATGATGTTCTAAAAACTTAAAGAAATGCAAATTATAGAGGAAACGATTTCGCCATTAACATATTTCATAAATTTCAAACTGTATACGTAAACAACCGTTTTCAAATTTAAGGATGCAAATATATTTAAATGCAAATTAACACAATAGCAGTATTTTTGTAATGGGAATTTCTCATCCCTTCACATAAATATTCATAAACAACTTCAATAAACCATCTACGATACGAAAATATTTCAGTTTGCATATCTGCCAATTTAATGTTATTGTGTATTTCAAGTTAACAGACTTCGATCTTCAATAGTGTTTGGTTAAAATTAAAATTAATAATTAATTTATGCCACGCTCGTCTTTTCGGGGAAATGAATTGATCTTTTCTGAATATAAATTAGATTTTCCAAACTTCATTGATCTCACAACCGAACAAAACAGAATTTGCAAGTGTCGGCGGATTTTCTTGCAAATGCAGAAGACGCAGACAGAAAGGAGACGCAGAGGAAAATCCCTTCCACAAATCTCGCCCGGAGGTTGAATTACGGTTACAGGAGGGATAAGCCTAAATTGCAGAAGTTCGTGCATCAATAAAAGGCTTCATCGGATAAATTAATTAGGGTGTTCACTATAAATTGTCTTCGGAAGATGGATTGGCTCATAAGGCGGGAAACCAATAAGATTACATTGATTAACGTTTTATTCTCCACTGTTCGTTGTTTCCTGGTGGAATTATACGGATAATGAGAGGACCCTTCTCTGCTGAAGGTGATCTTCCCTTGCAGGAAGGGGGGGGACTTATTTACTTTGGGGTAGGTGGCACTTTGATCAAATCCTACAAAAATTAAAGTGATTTTTCTAAAGGTTCTTATTACTGTCTGCAGGCGGATGGTTTGGTGTGTCGCTCTACGGTCATTTTGTGCACACATTAATCCCATCAGACTGGGACCTACAACTTATATTGGATTCCAAACAACTGACGAAAGGGACCTGATAACCAATTGGCCAGCGCTCTGGCCAATGGCATCATAGGCTTTAGGTTCGAATCCTGGTGGTGCCATGGAGGAGTTTTAGTGGTTCAGAATCTGCCAAGGTTATACCGTGCTGAATATACCGGTTCTCTTTTGATCAGCGCAGTTAAGCATTATGGGATGCAGTCAGTACTTGTTAGGGTGACCACCTGGGAACACCGTGTGTCATTGGCATTCAAAATGTGGGGTCTGAATGGCCAGGCGTCTAGCTCCTGGCACTCTGTTCCAGAGATTTCATGTTCGAAACCCGGCGTTGCCATGCATGTTTCTAATGGTGCGGAATCTACTTTAAACAATAGGTCACGGTCTTATATAGAGTCATAAAATCCAATCAGACCCACCCACATCATTCCAAAAATGTAAAGGAACAACTCACCTACTATGCTATCTATCTACGTATATCAAACAAAACAAAGAATAAAGCATGCCTTCTTGGAGAAATCATTTTCAAATTCTTTTAATTAAAACTAACAATAATAATTATGATTTGCGGTTTTTTTTCTATCTTAAAAAAGGCATAATATTGGCAATTTCTTTTCTTGCAAGATATTTTCTCAATTTTTTAACTAATACTCGTATACAGATAATACATTTTTCTTAATGAAATAGTAGTTATTAAAAGATTTTATATGATATCCCTTTACATTTGTATTGAAATTAATAAACGATGAAGAATGCAATTGAGATGTACAGATAGAAGGTTTTATCAAATAAAAAAAGGCTATTTAAAGGAATACTGTTCTTAAAACATAACAAAATGCAAATTATCGAGGCAATGTATTGGTCGTTAACATATCAAATAAATTTCAAACTGTATATGTAAACAACTGTTTTCAAATATAAGGATGCAGATACATTTAAATAAAAATTAACACAATAGCAGTATTTTTGTAAAGGGAATTTCTCTACCCTTCGCATAAATATTCATAAACATCTTCAATAAACCATTTACGATCCGAAAATAATTCAGTTTGCATATATCTGCTGATTTAATGTTGTTGTGTATTTCAAGATAACAGAGACTTCGATTTTCAATAGTGTTTGGTTAAAATTAAATTTAATAACTAATTTATGCCATGCATGCCTTTTCCGTGGAAATGAATTGACCTTTTCTGAATACAAATTAGACTTTCCAAACTTCATTGATCTCCCAACTGAACAGGACAGAATTTGTAAGTGTCGGCGGAATTTCTTGCAAATGCAGAAGACACAGACAGAAAGGAGAACCGGAGGAAAATCCATTTCACAAATCTCGCGTTTGGAGGTTAAATTACGGTTACAGGACAGACAGCCTAAATTGCAGAAGTTTGTGCATCAATAAAACGCTTCATCGGATAAATTAAGTAGGGTTGGTCACTATAAATTGTTTTCGGTCTCTTTGGAAGAAGGATTGGCTCATAAGGCGGGAAACCAATAAGATTCCATCGATCAACATTCTATTCTCCATTGTTCGTTGTTTCCCTGGTGGAATTATCCGGATAATGAGATTCTCTGCTGAAGGTGATCCTCTCTTGCAGAAAGGGGGGGAGGACTCATTTACTTTGTGGCAGGTGGCCCTTCGATCAAGTCCTGCAAAAATTAAAGTGGTTTTTCTAAAGGCTCATATTACTGTCTGCGGGCGGATGTTTTTTTTTGTCGCTCTGCGATCATTTTGTTCATACTTTGGGCTAATTAGAGCAGAACCTACAGTTTAGAATGCATTCCGAACCACTCGCAAAAGCCGTATTTCGTAGCCGTTGCAGTTAAAACCATTCTATTTTGAAACACTGAAACACTGGTCTATTTATATTGATTTAAAATGTATTCACTAATTACAGCAAGTGTAAATTGTATCGTCACAATTTAAGGCAATAAGCAACAGCAAAAGTTAAAAGAAAGCTGAAGCATATGCATTAGGTAGTATACAAGAAGTTGCGGCCTGATGGCTAGCACTCTGACATTTGGTAACCCAAGAATCAGGTTTGAATTTTGGCTGTGGCAAAGATGGTTGTTAGTGTTTCGGAATGCACAATTAACTATAGGTCTCGGTCTGTTTAACCCTCATGTGCACAAATTGACCGTACAGCGACAAACCATACCATCATAAAAATTTTATTTGAAGAAATAATCAAATTGAAAATATTGTAGAAAAGATATATACAGAGATACATACTGAGATATATACAGAGACAGTTTCAGAATATATTTAGTTAGGCTATTTTATTTCAGCAAACCTATTACATCGCCTTAATATATAATATTTTACGTTATAATGCGATATTCTTGTTCTTCCTCTAGCCAGTCTCATCAGGAATGCTAAATGTCTCATGTTCGTTGTTTCCTGGTGGAATTATCCGGATAATGAAAGGGCCTTCCCCTGCTGAAGGTGATCTTCTCTTGTAGGAAGGGGACGGGGGGACATATTTAGATAGTGGTAGGTAGCACTTCGTCAAGTGCTGTAAAAATTAAAGTCCTTTTTCTAATGGCTCTTATTACTAGTTTATCGCTTCACGGTTATCCGATCGTCTATGGAGCAGAGCTGCAACTAATTTCAGAAAAAAAATTGCATATTCGTGCATTTGATATATGTTGTTGTTGTTACTAATCCCCCTGGTGCAAGAAAGCCTACACCAGATCCAGGACACTCCATCGCAGACGAATGGGCCATGGCTAAGGGCAATATGCAGTTTTACTTTAGAGAGGAAACACGAGGGCTGAAGACTGACTAAACTTCAAGACAACATTCAACGATTCCATTAGATCGGGACTGCGATTTAAAATGGCTTCCGAAACTCTACAAACAACCATGGGATAACTCGAACAAGAAATCTGTGGCACTTGGCCATTCAGGCTCTGAGGATATTCTGTTAAGAATTTTTTTCAAAATACATTCCTAATTTATTTTCAAATTTACAGGGTCTAAAGAGGGTTACGGGGATTCGAATACGAAACCTGGGGCAGATACTCGGCCACTCGGGCCCCAATATTTAATGTGTTTTTAGACTAACTAATTACATGTAATTTTAATATATGTTTTTGAGAATATATATAATTATTAAAATTTTTTATAATCATAAAAAAATTTTGTGGTTCATTTAAATCAATGGTCAGTTTTTAAAATGCAGTATTTTTATTCGAATTTACATGTCTTGAAATAGTAGAAAACCAAAGGAAAGTTTCTCCAAAACTTAAAAATTTTTAAAGCTTAAAACAATTTCAAATTCTACTTTCACGGCTGTCATTTTTTGAAAAATAACAGAAGAGCTTCACGTTTTACGCCTGGAAAGATTCAAATAACAGTATTCATATTTCTGCAAAACCACACTAAAATCACTTCCCTTCAATTATTTTTTTAAGCATTTGTTACCATAATAAATAAATAAATAAATAGTAAATTATAACCATTCCAAAGCTGAAAAAGCAAAAAAAAAAGCATGGAAAATTTCCACGAAAACAATCCCATTTCTAAGTTAGGAAAACCTGAAACAAATTTTAAATAGCGCTGTGAGATCAGAGCTGCAACCGATTTCAAGTAAAAAAGAAAAGAACAAAAACATTTTTTTGTTTCTGTTTAAAGTCTGGAAATCATTATTTCTGTTTTCTGGGATTGCAATTTAAAGAAAGTAATGCTCCACCTCAATGGTTTGCCTTGTGCAAGAATAAATTGGAAATTGGCTTCAACCCGAGAAGAAAATTCTTTCCTAAATAAAAATAAAAAAAAAAAGAAATATATTATTTACTTTTTCGCGCGTTAGACTCAAGCAATGCATTTTGAATATTATCGGAGCACGTTCCTATACAAAATTTTTTTAGCATAATGTTTATATAACAGAGCGCACGCTCTCCCAAAATGTGTTTTCTAAATATATTCTAATTTGTTTTTGACTTAACTTTTGAATTTTCTTTTTAAAAACATTTTTAAGTTAATTTGCCTTTTTTGTTCAATATCTATATTTATGTTTCCGAAAAATGTAAGAACACATATTTTTTTTTATTTCAATTCCATTTAAATAAAATTCAGATTTGTATTCATGTTTAATATCTGTGCTGGTTCAAGCATATTTAGTGAGTGCACTTCGTGGAATTTTAAGAAATACATCAAATAAAATTTATTTCTTATTCAATGACTTGTGGTACTTACTTACTTAGTACTTCAAATGAAAGCTAAGATGTTTTGAATGATTAAATAACTATTAGAATAAAAATACTTGCATTTCGTCAATAATATAACTATTAATGAAGTAATAAGAAATGACCCATTAAGTTCATATGACTCTGTTCTTTTAATTAATTTGATAACAGATAATATAAAGTCTATTGATTTATATTGATTATGGAAAATTCCTTTGTTTTAGAAACTTTGATATTTTTTTAAAACAATTAATTACTATACCATGTAAGGAAATTAAAAATTCTATAATTTATCCAAATCTCTGCCAAATTTCGTCAATGGTTGTATTAGTCTGAAAGGTTTTAACATTTTCTTCAAACAATGATAATTTTTTTGGTCATGTAAGCGAGAAATAAGAGATCAGTTAAATCAATTCAAAAATAAAAACACGAAATAAATGAATATTTTATATAAATAGAAAAATAATTGCATATTTGTCTTTAATTTTAAAGATAAGTAAGTGTATTTGCTATTTAGTAAAAGGTTATTGGCTTCATTGCATTTGACATGTGTTGTTGTTATTTTTGTTAATAATTCCCCCAATGTAAGAAAACCAACACCAGGTCCAGAAGACTGCGTCGAAGGAGACTGGGCCAATGGCTAAGGGTAATATGCAGCTTCAATTTAGCGAGGAACCACGAGGGGTTGAAGACTGACTAAATCTCAAGATAACACTTTACGATCATATTGGACGGGGACTACGGTTTAAAGTGGATTCTGAACCACGACAAACATCAATGGCACCCCCGGGATTCGAACACGAAACCCATAGCACAAAGCGCCAGACACCCTGCCATTCAGGCCCCAACATTTGATATGTTTATACATTAACTAGTATGTAATTTTAATATAAGTTTTTGAGGTTATATGTATAATCATTGAAAGTTTTTATAATTATATAATGTTTTTGTGGTTCATTTATATCAATGACCATCTTCAGTTTTTAGAAGTTGGTATTTTTATTCAAATTTACATGTCTTCAAATAGCAAAAAAAACTAAAGATTTTATTCCTCCAA